CCCGCACTACCACACCCCCTCCCCTCCTTCCCGTACACATACAGTCGCCCACTAGCAATGCGAGCAGCATTTCAACGCGGCCTAGCCATGCTGAACTCTACACGGCAGCTGTCAGCAATTGGAAAAACTCGGCTCGGCTCGGCTCGGCTGATGGTCGATAGTGTTTGGGAAGCGCTCTAGCATCTCTACCAACGCTATTTCACGGCGCCGCTCGCCGGAACGCCTTGGCACTTTGCCAGACGCGCCGGGTACCACTGCCTAGTTTTTTGGCTGCTGGATCGCGTGGCCGGGGTGATGGATGGGAGAGTTGGACGTGCTTGGGGCACAAGAAATCGAAAATCCAAGTAACGGATGCTCAGGTGTCCACGATGTTGATTGGTAGGTGCCCAGATACAGCCCAGTGTATCGGTTGAAACTGGAATAGTGGGGGGATGAAGTTGCTGGTTAGGAGTTCAGGACGATAAACGGTGACAGTGGTCGGAGGTGATGGGAGCCCCGATGCGGCTCTGGTAGCAGGGATTGGGGACAGGCAGTCCTCCTAGACGTTGGGAGAAAAAATTTTTTGCATCTCGTGTATGAGTCGGGCCGAGCCGAGTTACGGTGTGCCGAGTTTTAGTAATTATTTGGACTGCCTTATCATACATGCACATAGTTTTGGAGAAACATTGTGCCTGTGGCAACTCAATATTCCCCATAAAACTTGGAATGAGCAGTTGCTCACTGTAAGTTTTATAAGAAATATTGCGGGTGCAGCGAAGAGGAAATGGGGGGCAGCCGAGGGAAGGGTGGGGAAGGGGTGCAGCAAGCGGAGTAGATCAGGGCTGGTCCTAGCTACAGCTAAAGGGCGGAGCGGTGTCGCTACAGCGCGAGAGAGTGGGCGGTCTATACAAATAACGAGCTGCGTCTTATACAGGTAGCGAGCAACATCTTCTACAGGTAACTAGCCAATCTAGAATGTGTAAAGCGACCCGCTACCAGGTACAGGTGAGGGCATGTTACTTGTAATCTGATGTTTTCGTGAACATGCCCACGTGCTTGGTCGCCCCGTCTTGCCACACCACGGATCTCTCCCCCTTTTCCTCCTCTTCCTCCACAGTGGTTCAGATGACAGCTGCTAGGAGTTCGGTTCGTTTGACTGGACAAAATATGCTTATTTCTCGACTTCACGTGCTCTGGAACGGCCAACAGTGCTGAAAGAAGCCACTGTTCGCACATGAACCAACTGTCAATGGAAATCTTCGTTAATCGAATACGAAATTAAACTATTCCACTGATAACAGCGGCGATCTGAGCAGCGCAGAATGGAAGCGGACTCGAGGACTGGCAAAAAATTCATTTACGGTAAAAGTTAGGAGCACACTTCCTCATCCTTTCCGTTCATCGCCGCTTCTCTACCAGTGTGTTTCGGATTTTCCTAGCACCTGGTGTATGTCCAAGAAAAAGCAATCATAAGCAACTGATGGCGCCGAACTTGTTGTCCTGCACGCCAATATTTATTCACTAAAAATCGGCCTTTTCTTAACGTCTGTAAATACAAAGATGCGAGTGTTTGACAAATGAAATAAAATTTGATGAAAGGATGCAGAAAAAAACAGAAATTAATAAATAGCGAGGCGCACTGGGGCAGATCATGCGTTTTGTGCAATCCTGTCTTGCGAACGCTTGTACAACTCTGTCCAGCTAACGCTTGCGAAGACTCCGTTTAATGGAATCTTGCTGCTAAAAGTATCCATGGCATAGAAGTTCCACTTCTCCCTAAATGATAAATAACCATGCGCGAGAATGAATTTATGCCAATAGGGAACATTCTCCTAAAATTTCAACTTCTCAGCTTTTGTGGTTTCCGAGTTATTAATTTTGGCGCCAGAGCTTTCACTTGACCGTACGTGAAACCTGAGCGCATGTGGATGCCGAATCTGGGTTTTCGGAGTCACCAGGGGTAGGAAGACTTGCATTAAAATTTCAACCTTCTAGCTTTTCTGGTTCTCGAATTGAAAATCCGGGATACAAAATGCATTTGGGTCACACACAATATGAGCTTTGCCTCGAAAATATGTCTCGATGTCGACAATATGAGCTTTGTTTCGACAATATGAGTTTTGTGAAACTGTTACAGCACATGTTGCATAAAAACCGGGCCGGAAAGTGAGTTATCGTAACTCGATACTGTTAAAAATACATAGGGATTTACTCAAAATGACAGAAAAAAAAATCCGCTTCAAAACAAAAAATTAGAGCAACTGCGTGCAGAGCCTAAAACCTCGAGCTGTAATGAAACTTGGTTGCAAACTGAATTTTTAAAACCTCTTTCTTGCTTTTGTTCAAATCGAGGGGTACTTTTTATACACGATTTTAACATAACTTATTCTCTTGATATACATACATAAACACATACATACATAAACGCATACATACATACAAACATACATACATACACATATATATATACATATATATATATTATTGTTATCAGATAGCTGTGATATCCGGACGCTGATCTCACGAGAACTGTTTAAAGCACTAAAATCGTGTCCGTCTAAACGATGAATTCTGGAGCAGCTGTTAATTCGTAGAACCGGTAACTTCGTCTACGTGATCGGCAACTTTCAGTTGAGCAACTCCTTGCATCCGCTGCACCCACTTTTGTCCGTGTCAGTAGAGCCGACAAGTCGGTAGCCTTCCTGCTATTCTTTTAACAAAACATGCCCAATCCAGCTACTTTTTCGTCCATTTGTTTCAAACATACAATACTTTGGCTTGGAGGGTGTATGTGTATGTGTGTGTGTGTGTGTATGTGTATGCATGTGTGTGTTTGCATGCGTGTGTGTGTGTGTGTGTACTATGGCGTTGTGTTGTAGTAAATTAAAAATGCTAATAATCGCGACAAAATAACAAGTGATACTTCAGTCACCAACAATTCAGAATTCAGCTTTTCTGAACTAGGCTAAATGGTGATAAATGCAAATAAACTGATTGGCAAATGGAAAAAAATACTGCTGCGAGCAGATTAAAGAAAGCGAGGAGGAATGTCTATAAAATATGAACATTTTCGAGCAATGAAACGAAAGCTATATTATTCGCCCTTCCAATTTAATAAAATGGTCGTCGGATTTTGGATCGACGCCGATTTATGGACGGACTATTCACAGTTATCCAGTACCGGTACAACCCTTACTGGTTCCTACTTCCTTTTGCCCACAGGGCCCAAACGGCCCATGGGATCTTTCACTATTCCATCGAAATGTAATATTCACAGATTTTTCACTGTCCCCATTTTGTGAAGAAAAACCGAGTCCGACATAAATTCCAGAAGATACATCACAGCACAGCCCAAGTTCTATCAGTCATCCAAGAATTTGGCCCAGAGTGAACTCAGTTAAAATCGATGCGATTGATTCAGCCGGTCGTTGTGGATCACGAATTTTCGGGATTGCATTCAGGATGAATTTCTCGATTTCACCGCCATTACCAATCTGAAGGCCGCGGAACAGACGATTCTCGCTCCCGGGTACCCAAACAGGTGGTGGCGGTTTCGGCAGCGGCTTACCGGAATCTGCAAAAAAAAAAATTTATGCTACAGCCCATAGAAAGCCCTACTTCATCAGCTCTTCTAGTTTTGAAATATTAAGAATTTTCTTTGAAATTCCGTAAGCTTTTAGATTAATCGAAGCTTAGAAGAGTTTTCTCGATTTTTGAATTGGCCGAACGTTTTTCAATCCTAAATCAGTTTTTGGCATCATCGACGCTTTTCGGTTTTTACCTTGAATGTAGCGTAAGCTGAATGACCCATCTCGTCCCAGTTCAACGGCATCAAAAATGATCAAAGCTTCCGGCTGCTCTGACAACACTTCAACTTGCTCATCGCCACAGCTGCAAATTATAAGGTAAATTTATTTTGCTGTTTTCAAAAAACACTTATGGCCTTTTCAGTCGAACGAATCACAGGGGAAAAAGTGAAAAATTGTGGGTAAAAATTAAAGAAATCAGACAAAATTATAGCATTAGGCGCACCATTTTCGAAAACCGGTCTGTTGAAAATCGGAATTATGCTTGATTTCCACGAACGCCTGACAAGTTGTATCACAGCGAAAGTTCGCCGATTCAATGACAATCCGTATCCTGGCATTGCTTGTCTGGAAAACTCCCAGTCGACTGAGTGTACTTTAATTTTAATCTTAATGTACGTTTCAAATTACAAGGCTAAATTTTAGTACACACTAATTTCTTTTTGGAAAAAAGCGGCCCTAGGAAGTGAACGCTGATCGTTCTCAGCGACAGTGTAAGCAGAATTTTTTGAGAAAAAAGTTTTCGAAAAATCCGAGAATGAGCTCCGCGAGGGCGGGTAGGAGATGTTCCGGGAGAAGAAGCGCTAGGAAAACTCTTGCATAGTTATCGCATGAAAAACAATTCAACAATCGAAAAAACACTTCGCTGTGCAAAATGAACCGTGCATACTCCAAGCACACTGAAAAACACCTAAAAGTAATCGCACTGAAGGTGCTCAGCTTCACTTACATTGTACTGTACTGCGGCTTATTTCTTAAAACAGATTATAAAACCATTGCGCATGTTGCATCATGACTTCCTCCTAGATAGGTCGTGTATTGACGCGAAAACGGTCTATATAAGGCCGCCGTATCTGTACTGTAAAGTAGTGACGATCCAGAGCAGTGTGTCGCTCGACCCAGTGTTACGAGGGAATGGACCCCCAGCTGCTACCCCATTTTATCGCCAAGGAGCCGGTGACCCGATTCGATACACCGGAGCACCGGTCAGTTGAAGGAACGCCCGGACCAGAAAACCCAACACGCGTAGTTCGTATCGAAATGAAGTAGAAAAATAAAATATCGTACTGCCGCATCCCATCTCGCAAAATACTCGCTCGTTCTTTGGCACTTTTACGCATTATTTCTGTTTAGCACTATTGTAAATTACTTTTGTGGCAATCCACTACTTTTCAACTAGCATCATAATACACCTTGCAGTTTCCACCTTCATTCACTTCCTCCTTCTTTTTTTCTTATTTTCTTTTTTCTTCTTATGCACTGCGACCGTCACACTGACGAGGTCCAGTCGCAGTTAGGACGTGTATGACTTAATGACCGAAACGTCTTATCTCGCTCTTACTTGCTCTAATCTACACTACTCCTTTCTCCTGAACTCCATCACATCTTTGCGATCTGCACTTCCAGGGTCAACCTGGATGCTGCAATCTGCTTAGGCGATTTAGCAGCTTCAGCACATGAAATGGCCTGTAAAATAATTACAGTATGACAAGCCACATTTTTCACCTTAAATTTTCCGCCGGAAAATGCAAGGAACCAGTGAGTTCCCTCCCAGTCTTCTGTTCGTCGATTTCGAAAGGCAATTAATTATGTTCGTTTAGTGCTGTGCTAAGACTTTCTCTGGATAGCTAATGAAACTACTGTTTCCAAGCCCAGCTCATATTCTTATTTATATCCTCAGCAACAAATTCACGCAAAAAATGTGATTCGAGAACCAAAAAAAAACATCATCGGGCAGTTCAGGTAGCTTAATTCACTATGAAATCAGTTAGGTCTTGTTATATCTGACTATAAATTCAAGCCTAAATTAAGCCTGAGTGCACAGTTATTGAGATTTGCAATTTCTACAGCTTCTGCAGCACTGTGCAATAAAAATACGTGTACAGGCTGGGATCTTGGCGAATGCCGTTGTTATGTATTATCTTTCTCTTACCTGGAACTGCTCGTTATTTAACGGAAGGCTTAAGAAATTTAAAAAAAAGCCTACTTTAACTCTCCAGTAACACTTCCTCGATCCCTTGTATGTAAGATGCTGCCAGGCGCCAGTCGCAATCAACTCGCCACCACAATCACCTGAACCGATAGTGCATTGATTGTGGTATATTTTTAGAAAAATTCGGATTCAAGAAATTTCGTGCCTAGAGTTTTTAGAAAAATTCAGATTCAAGAAAATGTGGTATTTTTAGAAAATTCGGATTTAAGAAATTTCGTCACCGGAGTTTACGAGCGGGAAAATATCGAAAAAAAAGTGAAACCATGGACCAAATCAAGAAAATGCATACTTGGCGCAACGCTGGTGCATGTCACTCCACCCAAGCCACTCGGACATTTACAGACCAGACAGTTATTCGGATCCGGATAACCACCGTTCTGACATGCCAGCAATGAGCTCGCACATCTATCTATAGTTTTTTTAATCGATGAAATTAATTAGGAAATGTTTGATAATTTAAGCCCTCACCTTGAACCATGGCTCCTCTAACTTCTTCAACCAAATATTTGCTTGGCGCGATGACGGCTGCTCTTTTTTACCCTACCAAACGCGCGACAGATCTTTAAAAATGCGCTAGTTTTAATGCAAAATTATAAAAATCAGTCCAAACTCAGTCAAAAATATAAAATCCACTCCTATCAAAGTATGTAAGGTAAAAGACAGTACAAGCCTCAAAGGCCCTGTGAGGGAATGGAAGAGGATAGTAACCAGGGCCAGGAACAGCGGCCCATTCAGCCCAGGGTATCGACCGGCGAGGGTCGCACCAACCCTACATGCAATAGGAATAACTAGGGGTAGGGCGGTGGCCGTCCAGAATCCAGTGAGGTAGCCAGTGAGGACAGCTAAAGCAGCCTAGTTGCCCAGGCATCGTCGTGTTAGATTGTGCAATTTTTTTTTTTTTTTTTTGAAGCAAGAAAATGAGTGCTCGAAACGAACAAACATAGGCAATGCCAAAGCGAATTGAAAACGAGGAAAAATGAGCTGCCACTCTGGTGAAAGGTCGGCTAATTTGACTGCATCTACCTTCTCAGGGATTCCGTTGACTATAGGCAGCTGTGCATGGCGGAAGGGCAATGATGAAGCACAGTGCTCTGTGTTGTACCTGATGAATTTCATCAGCAAAATCTGTCTCATTCAATCTTACTTGGTTAATGCGACAGCATGATCTTTGATTTTTGGCTTTAATTAGCACGATCTTTGATCTACCTTACAAATAGGCATAAATGACGGTTCGAACAATCAAGGCAGGAGGTAAAAATTGGCCTGCTCAAGTGGAAAATTAAGTCAATCACCTTCTTTACTTGCATCTCCACCATTCTCTAATCATTTTTTGCTTTTACTTTACTAATTTATAACTTTATTTCTTACATAACATGCCATAGCCGTTGTTGCGTTCTGTTAGGAGAAGCATACAGTTTATTGGACTGAAACGTCTTAATCTCAGCTAAATTACAGGTCTTAGTCAAAGTGTAATTCACTGCTGGTTAATATCATCTACTCGTGAAAAGCGTTTCATAAAGCAGTTGCTTGAGCTCAACAAAATTTCTTGGTAGCTAATATCAAATAAATAATACCATTACAATAGAGCCTGTTCATTTGTTTGACATCAATAAACGAAGGCCCATATCTTTGGCCAATCGTACGACTGTACCGTTTGTCCACTGTTTCGATTGTTGCATGATCCCAGTCAATTGTGAATGCCTCAAAATTAGCATTCTTTAATTTTATAGGAAACAATTCGAAAGAAAATGAAACACAACCGCAAATGAGGCATTGCTTCCTTCAACAGTCACAGCAAATAGCCCTAACAAGTATCAGAACTACTGGAAGTCCGAGCTTTTTTGGCGGGAAACGATTTTGCGAACCAGGCAAGATACAAAGCTGAAACCTTGCAGGAATATTCTCTGTGCATGTGCGAGCTAAAAATTTCAAATTCATCCGTCGTGCACGCGTGTGCAGCGCGCACGATTACGTCAAAGTTTGCAACTGAACCCCTTTCCACGAAACGGTAGATTCCCAGATCTTCAGGATTCTTTGACTTCGCTAAAATTCTTCTGAAAACGATACTTCGCTGTCCTAATACATCAAAAAAGCAACCCTAGCGGCTCTTTTGAACGAAATGCGTGATTTTTCCTCGTTACCGAAGTCGGAAGTTTAAAAACATTTACATGACACTTTCCATGAAAGTTTAAGAGGAGCTCAGAAGGAGTCTAGGTATTAGCAGCCCAAAAAAATTGCCTCTCCTCTCAACAGACGCCTAAAAACAGTGGCTGTCTTGACTGTCCAGAATACGCTTTAGTAGCATTTCAACAACAGCAGATCGCTGAGAGACTGGTGAAATCGGATTATGGAACTAATCAGCAAATTTAAATAGATTATCTAACGGCTGATCAAGCAAAAAAACCTTTAACAGAGCAAAACCCAAATGGTGGCATGGTCGGATCTTTTAAACGATGCTTATGGATTTTCTTAAATCGATAGCGAAAAGGCGCTGTCAAATAATTTAAGTTTTGGAAAACATGTTATTGATAAAAACAATAAGTAAAAGGAAGCCTTTATAATGAAAGTTAAGAAAACCAAGAACTGCGCCCTCCGCTTCCCTCTCCCGGAAAGATGAGAGCAAAAGGACGGCAAGGTTTTACATGACCCTTTTACATGACACATGGTTTATGTACATTTGCAAAATTACACTCTTCTTTATCTTATTTTAATTTTCTCTCCTTTTTTACGTACCTATTTGTTGACTTTGGCCTGACCGTTTACTTATTATGCGTTTTGTGCTGTGTAACAGCAGTACAAAACGCATATTGTTACGGGGTTGTCTGTGTTTGTGG